TAATCTCCTCACAGCACCTGGTGAGAAGAAGTGATTCTCTGGTTCTCCGCCTTTATTTTCCATATCGCTCTTCCTTGGGCCAGGAGCAACAACTGTAGGCAGCGGAATGAGAGTTTTGCAGGTGACCCTAGAAACACCCGATGCAGGGATGCGTCACGCTCGTCTTGTCATCCGTACTCCAAGCATTTCTTTCTTGAGCAACAGACAGGGCATTCTGCCCTCAAAGTAAACCCTGCAGCATCTCGGTGTTTCTGTAATGGAGGACGAACCCAAAACACAAGAAACGCAATCTTGACAGATTTCCAGTGGGACATCTGCATCGATGGATCTCTTTCACGGCTCACAAGTGCGAATGCCGCCTTTCTTTTTAGTCAAGCATGACAGGATTTCCACCGCCTTCTCGAGTTTGAATGCAATTCCCGAGATAACTCTCATGGAAGTCGTCGTCTCGCGAGGATAATCTAAACAGGAAAGCTTCTCCGCTTCCGCTCGAAAGCATCTGCTACCTTCTCAATGAGCTTTCACTCTTACAACATAGTGAAAGAGCCAGTTAGCAATGTTAAGGAGGTCACGATTCGACAAAAGGACACTCCCTGATGGGTTCTGTAACTTCACTCACGCTAGTTCTTGTAACGCTTACGTGATTCGCAGAGAACCAAGACTGTGAACGTAGTCATTTTGCTCTTGATTTGCATAAGATAAGAAATGAAGCGATTCTGGCTCGCTACCTGCCCCGCGACAGTTACCCACCTTTATTTGGGGGATCTCCATGAATGAGACCTCTGATTGACTATCTTGTTTTGTGAAGGGACGCGATTCAGCCAGAAAAAAATAATTACGTGAGACCGAAAAGTTGCAGTAAAGGTCGACCATAGGTGAAGGCCATTTCCCCCACTCATGAAATTATTGTACGAGCTCATTACACATTACGACATCTCCTGGAATGTACATGAACTTGGAGCTTTTCCTTCTATTCCGGCCGTTGCGAATGGATCGCTTGCGCTGATGGTAAGCACGTTCCCCTAATTTCGGCTCGGTAATCTCATGAAGAGGCGCTCGCTGGAAGTAGCAACAGAGGACACTTTCTTTTAATTAAAGTCGCTCCTGGTGCTAGTCAAGTGCCCCTGGTACGAGTCAATGGCACCTTCGATTCCATCTCGAACGAGGAAAATAGAGATAGGTGTACTGCAGATAGGTTTTTCCACCTTCAAATGGGACTAGCGGTCTGCGGCCACTACGCTGGCCGTCTAATGGGCGGAAATTTGAAATTGTTTACCTAAAGATATGAAGCAGTTCGGTTCAAACCAAAGTTTTTATGGCCTAGCGTATGGCCTAGAATGGCATAGTCTAGTAAGCCCTGCGTGTTAGGCCGCGGATGGGTGACAACCATTCACCACCACTTTCGGCCTCTTTCAATTTTTATGGCCTTGCCCAAGGCCCAGAATGGCAAAGCCTAGTAGGCCTGGCGCTTTAGGCTGTGAATGGCCTGGCCCATGACCTAGAATAGCATAGCATCGTAGGCCACACGCGTTAGGAGTGACAGCCACAACTTTCGGTCTCTTTCAATTTAATTAAATTAAAATATTAGATATAAAAAATAAACCGCGCCCGATACCTATCTCCTGTCGGAATCCGAACTTTTCATCGAAAAAAGAATGGGTTTCTATCTAAAAAGAATTGTAGTTGTATTATGAAGTGATCAGAGTTTGATCGGTGCCAAATGCAAAATGCAGCAAAATTCTAGCTAGGCAGACTCATGAATGTAAAGAAGCTTACCAAAGGAATGACATACGCAAACAACTCCTGAAATTTAGCATGCGCATAAATTAGCCCTGACCAAGAAGAGGGGAAGGGGGGGGGGGGTTGGTGGACAGGGATTCCACCACCATTCGTTCGTACTCGACGTTAGATATATCTGGCAAGGAATTAGAGCAGGGGTGCACTACTCAAAAGACTGTGAGGGCCACTTGCGACTTTTACTCACATACCGTGGACCGAATTCTGGCTGACCATAGCTGTAGCCAACAGGGCAGGAACCATAGTAACACTTACAACGGCACCAGTCATGGCGGGCCGTAAGCAAGGACCTCGCGGACCGCATGCGGCCCGCGGGCCATATGTTGTGCACCACTGAATTAGAGGCTTCTCCGACATCTTCACACCTGTTGAAAATAGCATGGACGCCAGGGGTACATCTCAGTCGAAGTATCTCTCTCGGACTTGAATGCCCAGGCGATATAGGATTTCAAAGTATCGACAAGGATATAAAATGATTCTACTCCGCGGTAATATTGCCCAGTCCCAAAAGTTAATGATTGTCTTCGACCTCTTTTGCGTTTCCTCACCCTGGGATCCAATGAATCTGCCCTAGAACAGCTCAGAACTACCATGTCAGAATAGATACATAGCCCTTCAACGGCATTTTATTTTGTACGAATCATCAAGACTCCAGAAGAGATTACGCAATGAAAATCCAGCATAGTGCAAGCGTTTCATACCTCGGGATCCAGATTTGGGAAAACTTGAAATGGGAAAAACAATAAATTTTTCCGAAATTTTTCACACATCAGCTGGAGAAGGTTTATCGCGTGGCTCACCGCATCTGCCACGGGTTCTCATGCATTTGTTACGACAGAGAATCCCTATCAACGTCATCGTAGATAACTCCTATATATTGCCTACTCGACAGCGTTCAGTGGCGTGCCTAAGAACTAAGAGATACCGAAGGAGTACGATTCCATGCGCGAAATGAATCCTTTGGGAAAAACTGAGACGCCGAAAAACTGCAGAAATTTATTTTTCTATCTGAGCTTGCCGTTCAAATTTTTTTTCTTCTTTTCCTTTCTTCTTTACTCCACTTCTCCCTCACTTGCTTACTCCCTCTCTCCGTTGGCAATTTCAACACCATTGTCTTTTATTCCTTTAAATTTATATTTTTCTTGTTTTTATTTCGACTGTCAGGGCACTTGACACCATAATTCCGCAGAGGAAAATAAACAATCATTACCATAACACGACTATGGATGAAACTCTATGCGAGACATCTTTAGGAAATTTACTCGGTGTTGCACGTGTCATTTCCTGAAATTTTTGGTTAAATTGGACATTTAATTAAATTGGACCAGAAACTTTAAAACAGCTTCTTTTTTTCAAGATGTAAAGTTATCGAGCGCCAGCTTGCGTCTGGCTGCTCTGTTGAACTTTCGTAGGACCAGTCCCATCGTGTGGGAGCCATCCTGAGTCTGCACACTGCCACAGTCACTTTTTGATCGCGCGGGCCAAAAGCTGTAACTCGGATTATGAACGACCAATTCTATTGAAATGTTCGCGGTGTCACCTGGTCATGTTGTGTAACCCCATGTAAATTTCCTTCCGTTATAATCTATGGTGTTCCCTCTGCAGGCTTGTGAATTTAGGAACTTATTGGGTTACCTGGTATTCAGGGTGACTCAGCTGAGGGTTTCCAAGTTATTAGGGATGAGGAGGCATGAAGAGCGGTAAGCGCCTTGCTCTAAACTGTCTGTGGCAATTTATGACACGTTCTCTGCACGCCTTGCCTCGCATGGAATTGAACTCATTCCTGGGTGAATTTGAATATCAACTCATCACTTCATCACCAGATATGATGTAGACTATAACATGAGATTCAGAGTCGTGACATAACTGTAATTATCCAAAAGCTGAATAAATGCTTTAGAGAAGGCCAATGCTAAGGTAATGCCAGTCTCTAATGACGAGAAAGGCTTTCATTACCTTTACGACTCGTGACATCAGACGCAATTGGTAACATGTCTGCATTTTCTTTCTTCATGAACTACTCTGCACGACGATAAGAAGCTGTGGAGGGCTCTATCTGGGAGAACCTATCACGTAAAGGAAGTGCAGTTGCACAGTTTGGCAACAACGACACAATTTCCCAAAAAACTTTCCCAAGTTTCTGTTTTCTATATTACGTCATTCCTTTGTTTTGACACAGCTGAAACTTGAAAAACCTCTGACTGTGCTTTCCGGCTCTGCGCATGTCAAATATGAAACCCATTCAAAACATTCCACGCTGGAGATAATCGTCATTATGTCATTTGGCATTTTTCGCCGGATTTCTTTATGGGAAGCTTGATAAGGACTAAGTCTTGATAGTGGACACAGGCTTGAAACGGCGTAGGATAGTGCCACCAAGCAAATTCAACTCACCATCAGGGATTAATCCAATTGTCTGGCAGACAAGAACAAATGTGTTATTTGCATAAGTATGGGAAGACATTATTGATGAAAGCAATTGCTGTATTTATTACTTATAATAATGGCATAAGCATAATAATATTATCATTATAATTATGAGATAGAAGGCATGAGAGATACCAAGACTATAAGGAAAATGACACAGTTAAAGGAAAAGACCAGGCGAATTGCGGCTTTGTGAAGTTGTTATGTGTAAAGTATTTTGTAGGTTATTGTATGTATTTTATGTAAAGTATGTTACGTGTCTTCACGTGTCTATGAGGTGAATGTCTATGCAGAATAAAATTCAACAATTCTTAGGGGGAATACACTGGTGCTGTCAAGTATTCGAAAAATTGAATACCCCCTTATTCCCTTACCTGAGAGGACTGACCGCTACTGTTTTTTTTTAATAATTATTTTAAGATGTTCACATGTTGACCTATAAAGCCCGAAATCTGAATATATATCTCCTCTGCAAAAGCAACAGGGGAAATAACTTTGCCCTTGCATTAGATTTTCATGATGAGCTATAGGGTCCAAGTCCAAGTCCCATGGATCTGAAATCCATGCAACTCACTGACAGAAGTTCAAACAGTGCAGATTGGGCTTCTTTGAATATCATTTGAAAAAACTCAAGTTTTCAGGAGTGTTGAGCCCGTTTATAGTTATCCAACCTCATTTGGAAAGAAGGAATACCAGAGTATGTTCACCAGGCCATAATACATGCAACCCGTATCATTAACGAAGGACCGGTAATTGAAGAGAACTCAGTCAGTCCCCTATGACGGCATCCACGAATGGAAATGAGGTCCCATTGCCTTTTTCACGTGTTCATTGAGCCTAGCCTCGTCTTCGGTAGGCAGATGACCGAAAGTTCGGGTGACGATGCTGAAAAACCGTTTCACTTCTTGCACTCCTTCCAATATGTTCACCGGGGTTACCCTCGCCACGTCACGAGTCTTGGAATTGAACGGAAAGGCTCGGACCCAACCCTTCACCTCTTGGGGGCATGACTTGGTCCAGATCCTCAACTGACTTGCCTCGCACTGACTACACTGGCCACCAGTCGACGGACCACAGGTCTTCCCGCGAGCTCGATATCGGATTGCAGCTCGCTCCGCCCTCCTTTCCCCTTTCACCTTTTCAAACTGATGAATGATTAGCTTGAAAAAATATGTATCGTTGGGTCCGATGATCTCTTCGCTCTTGGAGCATTCGTCCGAGCTGCGGCTGCTAACGTCTCCAGAACTCCGGCTGCGGGGTATCCGCACGAAATGTGATGGGATCGGAATCGCGAAACGGATATTACGATCCTCTCGGACCAGGGACCGACTTCGCGGTTCCGGGCTCAGCCGTTCCGGTTTTTGGTTCTTTGAACTGAAGTCGTCACTGCTGGAAGCGCAACTGCTGCTACTGCTGACATCGTCGCCGCGCTTCGACAGACAGAAACCACAGTCCTCGACATCTGACGTCGGTTGGGTCATGATGGCCTGCTTGGCAAAGATGTTTCGCGCGTAGCTGCTGTCCAACCTGAACGGGAAAATGAATCAATTTCAGCATGAAATCCTAAGAGTCGTTAACACAATCATGAGAAATTTCAACAAAATTTCCGGCACATGTTACTTCTTGGTGTGAATCTCATCGGTTGATGAAAACCAGAATTTTCCTTTCTTTTAACCTTTAACCTTTCTATTGATTAAATTTATTATTATTTCATGTTTTTATATGAACAGATTCCTACGAAACCCAATTATGGAATCGCATCAGCAATCTGGCGAAGATAGGTTTGACGAATAAAGAACTTCTGGCCTGGAATGGCGTCAGTTGTCTCACCGTTTCGCATAGTCGAAATCCCATTTCCGGAGTTCCCGGTCGGAGATCCCAGAATCTTCCCAGGGGCCCAGTCCTAGGAGATCGAACATCCCGTGTAGCATGGGCTTCTTCACCCAGGCGTCTATCTCGCAGAAATAGGCGAGGCTGGGACTCTTGTTTACCTCCAGAAGCCAGGGCTTGAGCGTGTTATCGACGAGGACGTCGAAGCCCAGGAGTTCAAACGTTCCCGTATGGGAAGAATTGTTCATGCCGTTTGCCTGACTGAACAGTGTGAGGATGATGAGCACTCGGATCCGTTGCCAGAGAAGCCAGTCGTTCAGCTCGTATTGGCGGAAGAAGTGTCGCAGTTGGCTCAGCGTCCACTTGCAACCTGGCACACATAATCTATATTATCCAATTGCAAGATACCTGATGAGGCCACTTGCGACACCATCAGTTATTAATGCACGGGATAAAACTCAATCCTGAGTCACAATGAAAAATTCCTGGTTATAATATAATTCCTGGTTCAACTTAATAAACCCAATTTTATTTATTTATTTCAAGTTCTTTTATTTTTCCCCTTTTTGTTGTTTTCTCCTCTGGTGGATGGTCCACTAAATTGCCCAAACAGACTTGATAAGTCCTGAATAACAACTGTGAATGACACGCATAGAACTTGCACATTTCATGATACAAAAGAAAATTATTTTCCGGTCTTAGAACTTTGAACCGGGAATAGGAAAGAATATTAGCCAGAGTACTTACCTTGAAGTTCAGAATTAATTGATTCGTGAAGGTTTAAATTGCTTGGTTTGGCCTTGCTTCACGGCGACATAAAAATCATCCCTTGGCTTTATTTTCCAAGTATAGCCAGAACGGTCGGAGGTAATACCCTTCCTTATTCAGGGTTTTTATATTTAAACGCAATAGGGGAATATTTAGCCACCTGTCTGTCGGGTGCAGCGAGTGCCACAAAGATTATTTGGTTGCATTACTATAACAAGTTTAAAGTATGGATGCACACGAGTTCGTGACGTTATGTCGACAGAGCATTTCATCGACACAAAAGATGTCCAGAAAATTGTTTGACTATTTTACTGACAGGTTATGTCCTTGGCAATTTAATGAACGGTCGGTTGTTAACAATGAATTCTTGATATTACTCAAAAAGTCAGGTTATGGGCTATTCCCTCTCAATCTTTCTACAGAAGAGTTTCTACAGAAGGTTTAAGCTTTCTTCTGGGACAGCTATTGCACTTCAGAACATGGAATTTCGATCAGTTCTTCCGTAGCCCATCCCATCATGATCAGAGAAACAGTCTAAAGCTTGCCAAGGAGGAGAGAAAGCAGGTCTCAGCCGCCTCCTCCAATAATTACTATAGCATCAAATGCTAAGTCACTGAAGAAAGTCACTATAAAAAATGAATACTGAGGCAAAGAGAAAATGAAGTTTACACAGATTGAATAAGATATCATCTAAACCACAAAAAAATGATTCAATTTTTTCTCTCCATCTTTTTCTTTAACTCTTAGATTCCTGGACCTTGGAAAAAAGTATTATTCCTACCTTCTCCAGCTTCTTCGGTAGGGCCACCAGGATTGAGATAGTTGATAGAAGAATTAGTAAGATGAGAATAACGATTATCCAGCTCGTCCAGGTTAAAAGGCTCGGATGCAAATCTCACCAGGCCTTCCTGGTAGATGTAGATGGATAGGGGTCGTCCGCACGGGACGAGCACGTAGAGGCGAAGATCGAACTTGTGCCCCCCAATCAGGAACGGGTTTTTTATGTATTCTTGAACGACGGACATGCCTTCGTAGCTGGCCGACGACGGGTCCTGCCCCGGAAAATACGAGACGAGTGTTCGTTCAAGCCTTCGCCGTGCAAGTTTTAATCGTAGTTAATCCTTAGAGTCACCTTGAAAACGGCGATACCTCGACCCCGACTGAGTCCCACCGGTTTGGAAATGTAGATAGGTTCTTCTTGTGACAGAGCCACGTGGTCGGACAACAACTGTGGGTATTCCGCAGGTAGGACGTATGCTCCGGGACTGCTCAAGGACAGCAATGAGCAGAGATGGTGATGGTATTGTACCAAGGTAAAGGGAGACAAGAATGGAAAACTCATTTTTTTCAGGAAACGAAAAAAACACAGGACTCTGGATAACCCCATTCCGCATACAACCGCTGTCGGACGAAATTAAGATGATTTTCACAATTACGTTAAGTACCATTAGGAAAATGTCAAACCTATTTCTTTTACCGGAAAAATAAATGAAACTTTAGGAGCCTCACTCAGCACTCTGATCGCAAATCATGCACTTTTAAACGGATAATGGCCACGGAATGGTTATATAGGGTGAGACAATAGTTCTGTTAACACTTTTTAACAGTTTAATTTTTTTAATTTTAATGGATACTTTTTCTCTATCTTAAGGCAATTTTTAAACCCAATTTGTTCTTATCATCTGCTGAAAATTTCATCGAGATCAGTCGACATTCAACCAAGTTATGGATGATCAAAGTCAGCGTGCTGCTTTAGTTGAACTGCATCGTCAATGAGTTCGTAGGTTGTGACATCGCAAAGCAGCTTGGTCTCCATGCCTCCAGTGAGTCGAGGACTATTTGTCGTTTTCGTGAGGTTGGAGATTTATCAGATTGCAGAAGAAGTGGTTGTCAGGCTACAGCAGAACATCACGTCTGTTATGCGTGCGCCAGCTGCTACTTTTCTATTTCTGATCGATTCGCTAGGATATGAAGCATTCTTTGAAAACGTTACGTCCCCAAGAAATATGCCCCCCAAAAATATTTTGGAAACTTGACATTTGACATTTGAGCTCAGTGCGTCAGCAGTCACGTTTTTCAGCTTTCCATGTGTCTCCGTTTGATTGAAGCAAAGGGAACTATTTGAAAATATGGTCCCGAAAAGGTGTGCCCCTATGGCATGTATCACCAAAGTAGAATTTTTCCTGAACTCAGCATGTGAATAGCTACTTATGTCAGTCAGTACTCTACTCAGCTACTCACGATCGTCTATACATAATAAAAGTATAATTTTTTCTTTACTCAGCTATCCATCAGGTACTTCTTTGCCAAGTTTAAACTTTCTAGCGCCCTCCGTTTTACTAGATCAGAAATTTCGGGAAAATACGCCTTTTGCAAAACATGAGCCCTCAGGCGTTTTAACCGAAAAGTACCATTTTTACCGAAATCCATCCTCAGTGAACGACATGCCCACAAAGTTTTAATCTTATAAGTTTGCCCTTTTCGCTCGTGAAAAATCATGTTTGGAAGAGTCAACCCACCCAAAAGCTATGCCCGGAGGGGATGCACCATGAAAGCTGAATACTCCCTCAACTCAATAATAT